TGCCGAAAAAACCGATGCCGGTAGCGACAAAAACTGCGGGGAACTCTGCAAAAAACGCATCTTCTCCCGTGCGAGCCCGTGCGTTGGCCAGTTATTAACTTTTTCAGGTACCTTTTGCGCGCTACCTTGCAATGAATAAAACTGTCATGTATATAAAGCGTTATCACATTGGCAAGGTGTATCGAAGAGATAATCCTTCCAGGGGGCGATTTCGAGAATTTTATCAGTGCGTGAGTGAATTTTTGTTCGTCAGGTTTTGTCATTTTTCATAAGCAAATTTGTTTTAGCTTTCATTGACATTGTTTCTTTCTCTCATACATTTCCAGGATTTTGATATTGCTGGCACATACGATCTAATGATACCAGAAGCTGAATTGCTGAGGATTGTTCATGAAATTTTCAGTGCATTAGATGTCGGCTCGTTTGAAATTAAGGTGAAACATTATAGGTTTTAACAAGTTTCAAAACACCTAAGAGTCCCTCAGTTTTTTACTTTTCGGAGAGTCTAAGGCATCTGAAAGCAATCTGAGGGATGACAAGTGTGGGCAGTAACTGCCTGCTGATAATTCTTTTTTGGCTTCCTCTATCGAGGGCAAGCGCTTTGGAAGCTTGACTCTCTTGCTTGTGCTAGCATCAGTTTACAATTGAAACGAGTGAGTGAATCGTGGAGGATTTAGTCGTGCCGCTCAGGAATCGATCTGTTAACCTAAAGCACGCCTGAGAGTCTTATGTCATCAAACTGAAATGGTAAACCAAAGTCGAGGTGCACTAGGCTTATTATTGCAATCATGCATTTTTGCATCATCCCATCCCTTGGAGAGGTAAATATAATTGCGGTGTTGCAGTTTGAACATTTAATACGTTTATGCACAGGACTCTTACCTTAGCAGAAACTCGTTTTACACTTAGTCATAAATAACCAGACATCCTCAGAACAACATTGTTTCCTGCTCAGTCTGGTTACCGAATTAATTGAGTGCCAATAATGCCTCCAACTTACCATTCACTTGTACACATGTGAGATCTAGGCGTAAATTAAAGCTGGATTTGACATGTTTGAGTCGCACACTAGTATTCTGGTAGAGTTACAGCTTCTTAGCTTGACTTGTTTAAGAAATCGCTTTTCATTATCTTTGGCATGTCGAATTACGCCACACAGGCGCGCAGCGAAGCTTATTTTACGCCTACATGTCCGTCTATGAAAAAGAAATAATGAAATTAGAGCGTTTTAATCAGCTTAGTTCCCGAGTTGGTTTTTGCAGCAGTAACAATTCCAACTCTGATGTGCCTGTGCACGTGACGTTGACATGCTTTAAAGCTGAATTTAAAATCTTTAACTCATACGTGGGCATGGGGCATCTCTGTGAAATTTCAGCTTCCTCTCGTCTGATTCCCGGCTTCACTTCCTCGCCAAAAAATTTGCATAAATTCTTTCAGATCTCCATCGGTAAGTGAGACCCCGATGTACATGAATGACGATTTCAAAAATGCAGCATCGTGGAGCACGCTTCAGAGGATTCAGCTTACCAGCTTCTCTGGTTGCTAGGTTGAAAGTGGGTAACAAACATGCCAACACACACATCGTCTGCCTGTCGACGAAATGCGCTTCGCATTTTTATGAAAATGCAAAAACGCGCAAAAATTAGTTCTTTGTGTTTTATAAAAATTACAGGCATTCTTTAGTAAATCCCATGCTTATGTTTGTTTGACCAAATATCTGCTCTTTTGTTAACTGTGTGCCTATGCAAGCGGCTAATTGTGGGCATATTGCCCAGCCTCGGCAATAATTATGAGTAGAGCATCGAAATGGGACGCAAACAGCTTTACTGGGTGTCATTCGATTTTGGGTATCCCCGCTTAATCACTTGCTCTTCCGGTTCCTTTTATGCTCGTTTGTTTTTCTTCAGCATTTTCACCAGAGGGTTCTTTGTCACGGAAACTGGCAGTGGCCAGTGAACGCGCATCCAGTGATAAGGTTTTCGATCACTTTCTTTTTTGGGTATTGATTATACAGAAGCTAATAATGAGCAACTGGTTTCTCAGAACCGAGCCCTGGATTTCAACTTAATCCGAAAGTAGTGCTCTTTGTTAGCATACCAAACCAATCTCATTAATAAATTCGTAAATTCAAATTTGTGCCACTGCTTGTGGCATCCCATAAGCTTTACCAGTGGAGGCGTCTTCCCTTTGTCTATAATTGTTAAAGCGGATTTTCAGGTAGTATTCAGATCGAGCCAAATTTCTTAAATATTTTTGCAGGTAAATCATAGGCAGTTACTGGATGGTATGCTAGCGGTGTGCGGTATTCCTAAAAAAGATTTTAAAACGGTCTGTTCATCGATTGACAAATTAGACAAAGTTCCGTGGGAGGATATTCGAAATGAGTTGTGCAGTGAAAAATGCGTTCAACCGGAAATGGTCGACAAGTTGGCCACCTTTATTCGTCTGCGAGGTTCATTTAGTTTATCGGTGACATTCCTATTGCGCCGATTCATTCACCGTTACACCAGCTTTTAAGTACACTACTTTATTGTTAACATTCTAATAAAATGAGTGAGCGTTGTTGTGGAGCAGAGAGCATGAGGCGAGCGAATGCTGGAAGCATTTCGTCCTTATGCGGTGACTGTCGGATGCACATCGTCAAATGAGCTCAGTGGTAGTCCATGCAGTCGGATTTTACTGTGCTTATTTTAGAACGTGACGAGAATTTAACAAATTTGGACTTATTGAGCTGGTTCGAAAAGGACGAAGTCACGTCGAAGAATAACGACATATTAAGAGCAGTTTCGGAAATGAGGCAGCTTCTGGAATATTGTGACCTATTTGGTGTTTTATCGACAGTTGTCATTGAGCCGTCATTGGCACGAGGCCTTGATTATTATACCGGAGCAATTTTTGAAGTCGTTTTGAAGGGTTTGTTTTGTTTTTTGTTTTCGAAGTGATTGTTTTGAATCGTAAAGCAGGAATTTTGTTGTCGATAAGCTGAGTAGTGATACAGCGAAAGAGAAGCCTTACTAAGAAGTTGTCACGAATACCAAGACCGCTTGGACTCTTATTGTCACTAAATGCACATTGCCCACCAGTTATCGGCAAGACAAGCAACATGTCTTGCCTATCGGATTTTACTTTCTTGCTGGGGCGCAGTGGTATCTTGAACGCTGCTCAGCAGCCGGAGTGTCTAATTCTTTATACGGTTGCGGAGAAATACGCCAAGCATCCTTTGCTTCATCGTTCATTGTCAGCGGTCGTTCGTCAGCTTTCATCATTGATCACGTTTCGCATCCGTATGTCACCGCATTCAACATATCGGCATTGGAGAGATAGGCACGGTCCTTCCGGTTCGGTATTTTTAATATATCGACGATGCTGTGAAATTTGCACAAACCGACAATCCTTCATCGTGCAATCTCCAGCTGTAAATTGTATTACATATGTACCTATTGTCCAAGATAGACGTAACTTTCAATTTTTTCCAAATCCACGCCGTCTGTCTGTGATTTCCCACAGGCATACCGGAAGTTTACATCATCTTCGTTTTCAATACATTAATTTTCAGGCCTACTCCCTTACTTTATTGAGCTCCTTCATCATCTCGTTCACTTCGTGAGAGTTGTTGGCAATAAAAATTATGTCGTCGTCGAGGCGTAAGTAATTTAGCTGTTCGCATTCATCCTCAGCCCACCTTTTCAGCCCAATTTCTGAAAATAATATTTCAAGGTAGGCGGTAAAAAGCTTGTGCGATGTGGAATTACATTGTGTTACTCATCTCTTGATCGCAATACGAATTGGAATGCAAAAAAGTGTTGTGTCTGTCGAGCAGCCTGTGTTTGCTTCCCTAATGATTTCCATCTAGTTCCGTTCAATCCCTTCATCTACGAAGAAGACTATTGTTGTTGTCAATGTTTTTGTACCATTATATCAGCTCTGTTGCCGGTACCATATTTTCCTTACTACTGTTGTTGTTGCTTTTGGCAACACTGTTTTTGTAATTTTTTTCCTGATTATTATTAACTTCACTAAAGAGTTACTATCATTACTAATAAGCCTGGAAAAAGTGGCGTCGTTTTTTCCGGTTGATTAAACCGCAGTAAGACTTTTTTTCTGTTTAAAAGACGCAAAACTTTTGTTCATGGTGAATATAGATTCTTGAAAGGAGGGGGGAGGGAGAAGAGAGGGATGGCTACCTCGGTCGAAAAAAAGCAAAACAGTCGGTTGCGGAATCAAAACTAGGCTTGGGTGTATCACATTTAGCGCTTGTGTTGAGGAAACTGATGGCCCGGGCGTTTTTGGTATTCCTGATATAACAGAAACAGGAAAAAGGGTGTCGTTTTGGTTACAAGGCATTATTTGGTCAGGGCACGGCAAATTCTGGGTACGCCTGTTTTTGTTAGAGATCCTAAAGCTCGAACAGTCACGTCATTTTATGGTTGTCCTTTATGTAAATAAAGTCTCATTATGGTATGATTGCGTTGTGTGTGTATGTATGTATGTAAGTATGTATGTATGTATGTATGTATGTATGTATGTATGTATGTATG